GCTTGGTTGATAATCAGCCCTCTTGTTCTGTCCTTCACACACAGGGTGAGGGAAATACAGTTGCCTTATATTATCTTTTACTTCCATGAAGTCACTCAAGTTATTAGTGGCTGAGCAGGGAATTGAGTCAATAACATTAATGGAAATTTTGTCATGATCTAAAGTGTCCTATAGATGAATGGAGAAGTTGCAATTGGTTGTGTGATTTGACAAGTAGAAAGCGAGTCTTTATGTACAGAGCAGATATGGCTCTATATCTAGAATGATTCTATAATCCTTTCATTTGGGTAAGAATCCTTATCAGAAGTTCTTGATGTAGCTGGGATGTAGCTCAGTGGTTCCTCCGCCTGCCTCACAAGCACAAGGACCCAAGTTCAATCCCCAGTACCAAAAAAAAGAAGTTCTTGATGGATAGAGGGAGTAACAACAAAGATATTCAGTCACAAATAGCATTATTCCTATAGGAAATTCCATGGCTGTGCTGCTAGGAGCTCGTACAGGAAGTGCATGTGAAAGGACTGAAAAAAAAAAAGGCTTTTCTGGTCAGTCACCCCATGGGGTTTTTGATGATAACACCTAAGTTTCCTAAAATGGTGTAGACAGTGACACTCTACAGAGCTACGTTTTCTGAATAGTAGATGCTAACTCTAATCACACTAATTTCTTCCCAAAATATATTACGCCTGTGCAGGCTTTCACCACTGTACACAGAATTCAACTTCACTGTCCTACAAGCTTGCCTGAATGCTTCCTTCAATGTCTCCATTTCTGCCATTCCCTGACTTTCTACAGTAGATTCCGTGTAGTGTTCTTGCTATTACGATAGAAGACTAACAGAACATTTCCAATCTATCCCTTCCTCTTTAATACCTTTGGAATTCTGTGGCTGTCTCTTCTAGTACTTTTTATGTCTCATTGAAGTGCGTCCATTGTTTCCAATGAACAAAACTTAGTTCAGCGTCTTCTTTCTCCTGAAAATGAATCTGAAAGTGCATAGTTGCCTTACTTTCTTATCAATGTAATCTGATGGTTTTTCTGCAAACTTATTCAAAAGCTGATAGTCTTTCTTAGAAATTTGTCTTCAAGGCTTTTGTTAAGTCTCTCTTTAAATTTTTTTTTGTTTATTTATTCAGTTTTTTGAGACAGAATTTCAGTATGTATGTATTCCAGGCTGGCCTCAAACTAACAGTAATCTCCTGCCTCAGCCTTGAGAGTGCTGGGATTACAGGAATGCACCACTGTCTACTTTAAAAAAATTCTTCATTTAAAAAAAATGATTTGACATTGACATTATTTTTTTAAGTGAAGCATTGATTCCAGAACTTCACCCTTCATTTATACTTCAATTTATACCTTTACTTGGACTCTATCAAGTGGAGAGTTTTGGTACATGCAAAATGAATGATTTTTTTTACATATGGAAATAAAATCATCTTTTGCATTTGTGGGCTTCTGTAGCCAAAAAGCCTCATTGCTACATCTTATCCATAAAGGATTCCTAGATATTTTCCCTTTATTTATTACCTAATATTTAATTATTCATCTTTAATAGATTTTTTTTCTTGTAGACTTGTCTGGTTCTGGAATCTTGATACTTTGACTTTTGCCTTGCAAAATTTATATCACACTAGAATTCTGACATGCAGAGTACACTAGAATTCTGACATGCAGAGAAAGTAAAGCTCATTTTTAATGCCCTTAACTAGAGTGAGCATATGGCCTGAGTTGATTGAAACATCACAGCAAGCCCTAGCACCCCATATAACTTAGACTTTGTCCTAGATTTTTTTACTTTGCAAACTTAAACATTATTATTAATAGTTCTAGTAGGAGAATCTAAAATGTGAAGCAGGCAGTACCTTCAAGCTTGTAACCCGAAGGTGAGGTACACTTACAATGAACAAAAGTCTCATTTTACCATATGGCTAAATCTGTGAGGAAGTCAGCAATAATGCTCATTTCCACAAAGCTTAAAAGGTACAACATTACTGGTACCTTCCTTTCAAGAGCAGTACAGTACACAAGCTGATCACTAATGAAATGTTTTGAAAGACAAGAGTTTGGACAGAGGTGTGGAGATGGAGAAGGAAGAAGTACCTGAAGGTCCAGCTGTCCCCAGGGATTGTCCACAGCAGCATATGCTGACAATGTTGACAGAGAGCTCCCAGAAGTACTGGTCGATGGGATGACCCATTAGTGGACAAAGAATTTCTCAGAATTGAAATGATAACATTTGTAATACCTGTATCATACCATTTCATTACACGCTTTCCAAAAAATTATTTTCAATAATGATTTTTACTTAGTTTTAAAAAATCTAATTCATGGCATCGACATAAACTGTCAGATGTGTCCAAGATAAAACTCCGCCATCATTTAAAATGCTGGTAACTCACTTAAGAATTAAATATTAAAGATAAATTATTTTATGGAAATAATATACATACAAATTTTGGTGGATCAAAACATATAAGTAAAAGAAAAACCAACAACAGAGTATTTTTATTAACTGAAGAAATTTATGAAGCACAAATAAGTTTGGAATTCACGTACACAGGTAATTAATAACTGGATAACACTAAAGCAATAATATTTTACCACTAAAAATAGAAACTAGTTTTCAAACTTTATATACATATGCATACATCCATGTGTTGAGTAAATAACTATTTTTATAGAGATGTTGATGTTGAAAGGAAAAACAAAGTCAGCATGGAAAAATCCATTCTCTCTCTTGTCCTTCAGCCAGGCTTTGACAAAATCTTTTTCAGTTAATCTGTTTCCTGGAATGGTTATGAATATTTTTGTAAATGAATTTTCTACATTTTAAGTGAATTGCATTCAAGATCAATTGAAAAACTCAAATAGATCATTCACCAAACAAAATACTGAAAAAGCCAGCTTTCAAAGCTTTCAGTGAATTGTAATACGTAAAAGCTTTAAAAAGGAAAACACTTAATTGCATCTTCACAAAAGCAAAAAAGAATTAAAAGAAGAGCAAGTTTGCACAAGATTTTGTTTTATAACTTCCCTTTGAAATATCTTGACTTCAGAAAAAAACTTTTGGTGGAGCTTCTGTTTCTACCTGGACTGATTTATATACTTCACCTGAATGAAAAGTTGATCTGAAAGGGCCTAAAATTTTGTAGCATCTGTGTTTGGTACCAACAATCATGAATAGATGAAATTTATGTTATTTTTGTCTTATAATTTTTTTGCCAAAAAAGATACTCAGGTGGAGGAAAAATGATAGTAACTGGAAAAAAACTTTAGGCTAAAATACATTACGCATACCATTCATTTAACAAAGTTTCTTGGTGATTACCGGCAATAGTAGGGAGAATTATTTCCTCAAAGATACCATGGTTTACAAAGACATTTCAGACATCAACAATTTCAAATTTGCTACTTATACCAAGAAACTTTGAAGATGGTTGTAAATAAATTTATAAAAATAATAGTACTGAAAATGTTTCCTAACCCTAACCTTAAATGATATGTTACAGACAGAAATGATTAAGGATTAAAGCCTATAAATTTATGCTGAAAATAATTCTGTTAATGTTACATTTTAATTTTTAAGTTATCAGGGTAGAGACACATTTTTTTCTTTATGTATTTTTTAACTTTGCTTTATTGTATGTGGGTGTGTGCTGTTTATATTTTTAGAGATAATTTGATTTTGACTATGATTTTCAAATTTAACCATTTCATTCACACAGTACACATGCATATCCACACCACACACACCATACATATTCTATATCATTTTGTGTATTGTTTTAACCTCTTTAACCTCCAAAAGGGCTGTGTAAATTATCTGGTCATTCAATTTGTAGAACAAGTAAACTGGAATACTTCATGATGAGGCTGATGTTGAAAAAAGACCAAAGTGTTATTCTGTCTAGAATCCCACTGGGGATCAACAGAGTAAAGAAACAGATGTTTTATTACACATCTAATCTAGAAAACTTAACCCAAACTGACCACTTAAAGGCATTGTTCACCTTTCAGGGAGAAACTGTTTTCAATGTCTCAGACCAACTCCTTTCTCACTGCTGCTTTTTTCGTAAAGTGGTAACCGGGTAACTTACATAACTCCATGCAAAAAGGGTCAGCCTCAGGCTCCTCTGTTGTCCTGGGGTTTGCCTGGAGATGTTCTTGTCTGGTTGTTGGGTACCCTGCAAGCCTCAGATGTTTGTGTCAATCCATCTAGCTTGTGAAAGCTTCGATTGCCCTAACCTTGTTTCAGGTCCTCCAAAGAAAGGAAAAAGATAGAGTATGTCAGACATTGACCAGAATGGGTTACAATTAGACAAGAAATTGGTAGAACTTGTAGGCTAATTCATATCTGTATAAATCACAGTTCACAGAAATGCCTGCATAAACTGAGAATATGGTACAACATTTGTGGATTGTATATCTTAGCGCATGTGCACCCACACACCTCACATCTTGAGTCCCCATGTGTCTGTATACCTGTTCCTAGCAAAGTGCTATCATGTGGCATATAATCAAAGCTTGATTTAAGCTATTTAGTATTTCAATGAGCTACAGAATAAAAAACAAATTAAACATTAACAAGAAAGATCAAGGCTTATAATGCAAGGAATACAATGATCTTAATGGAAAAAAACTGGATTCTGGCAACAAGCAGAGAAAATCTATCTTTGAGTGTATGGGGGGAAAGGCATGTTTGTTTGCCTCTTGGCAAATGTATTATTTGAAATCTCATGCTATACAATGTTACTTCACTTTTTAATGAGGCCAGAAATAACCATGATTTTTCTGATCCCAAGAGCCCAGGTTGTTTGTGTGTTTCCTAAAATTTTCCCATTTTTGATCACTGAAAATATTTTATAGTCCTTTATTTTAAATACACATTTTCCATTCTGTAGGAAACAGGTGCTTTTGTAAAACTTATTTATTCTGTTGAAACATTTAGTATAACCTGTATTTTTATTTACACATTTATTCATCTTGGGCTGTTATATTTTCAGTTGATTTCATAGGTGGACTTGGTACACACTCCTACTACCAGGATCATGTTGAGTTAAAGCCTGTTAAACCTGTAAGTAAAGGTGTGATGATATAGAAAATATTAATCCTTCTAACCTGGCCACAACTAACCAAACCTGAAGTAATTTGGACCTACTACTAATCATTGGTTTATTTTTCACTCATATCTAAAACACATTTTTCACATGTAACCTAGCATCATCATCATTAATATTCATTCCAGAAAGCAATTGAAGTAGGTAACATGGTTTATGTTTCTAAAATGACATTCTGACTTATTTTCCTTATCAGTTATGGATTGCATATCACATTGATTACATATTACATTGATTGCAGTTGAAAAAGATGACATTCTTTATGCTGTGGAAGTGAAGGCTGAGCATGTATTTTGGGGCAGCATAGTAGAGTAGAAAGACAAGAAGAGCCTAGGCTAGATTTCAAGTCCCCCATTTATGGTTCCAAGTATTTCCCAGGATATCTCTGGGACTTGTTCTGTCCTCAGTAGCATGGTTTCAAGGAAGAAATGATAGACTACCTGGGATAATGTGTGTATAGCTTGTAAGTTACCTAGATTTTTTTTACTCAAATATTTTACTAAAAGGTTCAGAAACAAGTTTTTTATTGTTCATAGGAGACACGGGCAAAAGTCAACCAAAAAAAGAGCCAGCTGAAATTGAACTGATATCAGTTGAGGAAAGGGAAGAATCTTGGTCACCTGATTGATAAAAACTAGGAAACAAGGGACTAAATGCAGTGACTCTATTCCTAGAAAACCCTGAAGTAGCAGATAATCAGCTGTATAAAACAGCTATCATTTGCTAAGCATTTTGCCTATATTATGACATCTAATCTTCATAAAAATACTGTAATACACTAATTTCCTGCTTTATAAATAAGGAAATACAAAAAAAAGGGGAGAGGGCAGGGACAAGGGGAAAAAGTGAGAACCAAGACTTGTCATGTAGTGGTACAAGATCCCACCAATGAATGTAACTGTACTGCATCCCTAAAATGTACCAATAAACTCAATTAAAGCTGAAAAAAAATAAATAAGGAAACACAAGTTCACAGAAGACAGGTTGCTTTCTCAAAGTCCCAGTATTAATAATTTGTGATGCTGGGATTTTTTCGTGGGTGATGATCTGAACCCTGGCCTCATTAAGTGTATTTGCTTTGCTGATCTTCACGTCCTTCTATGGTGATAGAGGAAATCCTGTCAAAAGTCCTGGGTATAACAAATGCATATGACATCTTCATCTGCTGCCTTTTCTTTTTTTTTGTCACAGTGCCAACATGGTTAAGGACTGAAGTCCTAAGAACCTGCACTGTCACTACCTGCCCAGTGTGAATTAATTTTACTCTGGCAGAATGATCTAAAGTAAGCATAGCTATACAAATCAGTGCATGTCTGTCAATATAGAAATATTTAAATCAATTTTAGTTTCTTAGAGTAAATCCAATTTGGAGAAAGCACTTACTCTATATAACATTCCATGACTAAGTAGTCACCACCTCATTGTTCAGGCTTCCAAATGCCCATAAATGATGTGCTCCAAAAGCTGATCTTTGTGGATTGGGCAGCGAGTGTGACAATGCTAAGCAGGATCAGTACAATGGAAGTGAGAAAATAACTGAAGTAGTGTCTTACAGTGACTTATATATTTGTTATGAGACAAGAGGATAATGAATAATTTATTTCATTTTTCTGTGAAGAAAAAGAACTCTGTGGAGAAATTACAATATGAAAAACATTTTTATTAGAGAAGGTTATTAAGAATTGCAAATGATTAATATTGATAATGGAATCTCCCTTCTCAAGTAACTCCAAAGAATGGACTTACATATACCTATGAACCTCAAAAGGGTATTCTGAGGTATTTATCAGGGGCAAGTGACTTCCACTTATGGCATCTGAAGCCCCTTCCATCTCTGTGAATTGAGAAAACATAAAACATCCTCTTAAGATCACCCGAAGGCTTTGATCAACTCTGCTATCTCTTCAAAGGATTTTCCAAACATCCCTGTTCACCGCTGAACTCACACTACTTTAGCTAAAATGCAGCATCAATGACAGGCTTCAAAAAGAAACAGAATAATCTTCTGCTTTGACAGATTATGTGTATTATCATGTCAGATGAATATGGAACACCTTTAAACTATGGAGTAGGAATCTGAAAGACCAAACTAAGCCCGAATTGAAATCTTTGAGCATAAAACAATTTAAGAGATCGGTATCTGTACTATAGAGCAACATGCAAATATTGTAGCAGTTAGCCAGGTGTCATCAGTTATCCTGCTTGATTTCTTTTAATAAGGCCTTTATATTGGATTCCTTTGTACCCAGTTCAATGGTACCTTATCATCCCCATTCCCCTGCAACAGCTTGGAGTAAAATTCAACTTTTTGTACTAAATTGTTAAGAGATGGTGTGAATGTTGTTTTTTAATTTTGATTAAACCACTTTAATCTTCATGAAATACAAAGCCACGTTTCATAAGGAAGTCACCTTATTAAGGAGATCAGAAAAATCCTTGTTGCCTTCCCAGGCATGTGAACATGAATAAGTAGCTTTCAGCTTCAAATAAGTATATACAAGCTAATCTAGGAGTCCATTCATGGATATTCTGCAAAATCATACAGAGACTGAATTCTCATATTTCAATGTCAGTTTGTCCACAGTCAAATCTTGTGTGAATATGTATATTGGAGATGAGGTAATGATAGGGGTGAGGTGGTTTGTGTTGGGTTTGATCTTTCATGCTTTCTTTCTTTTTAAAGTAATACTATCAAACCATCAAACTTTACTGATTAAATAAATCAATTTAGTTCAATATACAGCCATTAATTGATTATCTACGATGTGTATACTTGGCACTAACCTGGGTGTGGAGATACAAAGATAAATAACACTTGAATTTGACCTCTAGCAGCGAATGAGCTAGGAGGTTAGACGTACACAGAAATAAATGAATATAAAACAATGCCATCGAGGCAATTTTATGCAGAAAAGAAATTGCTGCTTCTTGGTGAAAAGTCTTCACTGGGAGATGATGCTTAGCTGATTTTGAAAAGATATAAAAGAACAAATATAGCCACTTTGCAAGACAGTTTGACAGTTTTGGACAAAACTAAACATACTCTTACAATAGCAAGTAAGCTGCTAATATGTACCCAAAAGAGCTGAAAAACTACGTCCACACAAAAACCTGTGCAAAAATAGATGTTTATATCAGCTTAATTCATAATTGCCAAAATGTGGAAGAAAGCAAGATTTCCACATGAGGTGCATGGATAAACTATAGCAATCCAGACAAAGTAATATTATTTGGTACTGAAAAGATATAAGCTATCAAGTCGTATAGTTTGAAAAGACAAATGTATATTGTTAAGTGAAAGAAACTAAACTGAAAAGGCAACATGATATATGTTTTCAACTATATGAACTTCTGGAAAAGTCAAAACTATGGAAAAAGTAAACAGATCAGGGGATAGGAGAGGTAAGGCTGAGGAGGTAGGGCAAAGAGGAGTTCTCAAACAGTGAAGCTATTTTGGATGCCATGAAAATGGTGCAAACATGTCATTCTACATTTTTCCAAACACATAGACTATACAACACCAAGAATAAATACTAGGTAAGTCAAGGGCTCTGGATGACAACATCCAACATGCAGGTTCATCAACTGTGACAAACATAAAACTCACAGTGGGCACTGATAGGAGACTACATACAGGTACGGAAAATCTCTCTATCTTTTTCTCAATTTTGCTGTGAACATAAAACTGCTTTTTTTTAAAAAAAATTGTCTTAACAAAAAGAGCAGAGGAAAACAGATATTCTTAGTGTGGAGGTTAATTTTCTTGACCATTCCACAGAGGATAGTGTTGAAGTTCAGGAATATCCAGTCTGGTATATGTCAGAATTCTTACTTAAAACTGAGCAAACCTATAGGAAGCAGAGCAGGAACCTTGACGGCTCCCGTGAGGACAGTAAGAGGCCTCAGCAGCCATTGCTCTGTCATCTAAATCACATCACCCTTTTTCCTAAAGCTATAAAACATGCTAAGTGATTGCCATCTGGGTCTGTCTTGTGGAAAAATGACAAACAAGTCAGGGGAAGCCTGTGATATCATCACAGCTGCCAGAAGGGAGTGTATCTCACCATAGCTATAACCGAGGTCTCCACCACAGTTCTCCCATCTTTGCACCATGCACTGTCCTTTCCTGAGGGCAAAGAGCCAGGAGCACTCTTAGCATCAGAGTAGAGTCAAGCAGCTGCATGGTCAGCAAGGCTGTGACAGGGCCACCTGCACATTGACTTAGAGTGGAGACAGCAGTGCTACCAGGGAGAAAAGGCAGATTTACCTTCAGAAAGAAAAATGGCATGGCATGGACCCATACATCTACAAAAGCAAGATGTGATCTCAGAGAACATCACAGTAAGCAATTAAAGTTTGTCAAAGTCACAACTGGTATACTTCCATCAAAATGGTTAGCAACTGAATAGTGAGAAAATTAAGCTCCATCTAGCAGTAATTCTTAGCATTAAAATAATTAGACCAAGGCAGTTTATCAAAGAAAGACAGCAACTTAATTCCAGAAGCACGCTGCACAACAGAGGTAGAGCTAGATCTGATTATGTCAGAAATTTCCATGAGCAAGATACCCCAGGACTGCAGTTAGGAAAGACTTGATGAGAAAGTTGACCCTGAACTCCCCGCATCACTACTGAGCAATCATTTTCTAAGGCTTCCAAATGAGAACTTGACTTTTCTTTGGTATCCTGACTTATCTGATTGCCTTGCTGGAGGCTAATTTTTCTTCACAAAAATTACTACATGCTATGCAGCCACTGCTGATTGAGTAGCTGCTATCACTACTAAGTGCTAAAAGATAGAAGAGGCTGAACTTCATTTCAAGCTGTCAGTGCAGCCACCTCCATGGTGCCTTTGTTGTCTACTTCTAACAAGCCCTCAGGAAACCCACCTCTGATGATCAGGATCTGAGACCCATCACAAGGAGGTCACGTCTATTTGCACTTTGCGGAGAATAGTG